ATAAAAATCAGTACTCGTCAATATAAATTATATCGGTCATAAAATCAGCCTTATTAATCTAATATATCTTACAGAGAAGCAGAATTCAAATGAGCCACCCTGGTAACACCGATATCTGGAGATACCGTTTATCCTACTGCATTCAGTACCTATCAGAACAGGAACACGAAAGTTTTAACATACATCATGTAAAGTCAGCCTCCTGAAATCGAATCTTCGAAACGGTAAAAAATTACTATGTCAGATATGCATATTTACCCGTGAAAAAAATTCTTTGGTATAAGGGAAGTAAAATAAATACATTCATTAATTAGCATCCTGTACAGAGTCCCAGCCAGGTAATTTATTTTAGCAGCTGTACCCCTGAAACAACCATAAGTGCTCATAAGTCAGTAAAATATCTTTGCATGTCCAGTGTCTTCCACTTATTCACGGGGATTCCAAATGCATTCACCCCCTCCCGCTTTGGGTTTGGGATAACTGTGAGCATTCACTCATTTAAATGAGCAAAGTATCCTTCAGGATAGAAGTATAAACAGAGACCTGGTTTAAAGCTCGTGATGGTTCTTTGCAACTGCAGGGATTATCAAGGACAGTGGAATACATACATTATTAACTACCTGTCTAGACAGGTCGGAGGCGGGTGGGAGGTGGAATTTACACCCAGTACAGTGGAGCAGGCGAGTTAGCCGGGTGGTGGCTTGTCCCAGTCGGAACTCTTCGGGGTGGAGTAAATGAACGGTATCTCATCTCCCAGAAAAAGACGACCTCCCTAGCTGTGTGACAAAGACACACAGGGCCTCGAACCTTAATAAGGGGTACTATGGCAATTTTTATGGAAAGATTCGCAAAGATTTTTTCCAGTTACCTGAATCTGAAGATGAAACCCCCAGAGCTGTGTGTTTACATCCTCTTTCAAAAGCCTGTGCTCCTTTCCCCACCAGGTCTTGAAAGGATGGCCCGCGGGCTCCCGGGCTCCCGGGCTCCCGGGCTCCCGCTCTCCCTTTTGGAGACCAGCACCGCTGATTCCAAAACAAGGCATTTTTATTAATTTGGTTCAACATAATCAAAAGAAGAGGATTCCATAGAAAGATCTTTCAACCCTCCGACAGGCCCCCCACCCACCCACTAGCCCGAGAGCGAGGAGTGCTCTTTAGATTTGACTCACGATTCCCTGCTCTGATTCCTAAGGCCCAACTGGCATGGCGACGCCGGCCTACAAATGACGTACGAAGCCAAATCATCTCACAGCTCTCAAACACTAATAGCAAAATGGCAAGAGAAAAGTTCTTTGTTGGCCTCAGGGGCCCCAGTACATTATTTTGACTTTATAAGGACATTTTACATGAATTAAAAAAGAAATCCCAGGGCTGGGAAACTTGGTCCATCGTCACTTTAAGATGAGAGATTCAATCGAATGTCCACAGAGAAAATTGCAGTTGGTTTTCTCATAGCAGTGGCTCCATGGAAAGGTTCACCAAATGCTCTCTGGAGAAAACAGTATTTTCAAATGCACAGAACCTCAAGGCTTCTGAGTGAGAGTAACTCAAAATCTAACAGGTGCTTTGGATGCTGAAGGGACCTCTATTTCATAGGGTCCCGCCTGTTTCCATAACAGTCTTTTTCCCTTCGTGCGTTCTTTGGAATATTTGTCGCGAGAAGTTAAAATGAAACCGAGTTTTCACTACAAAGTTCCCACACTAATAACAAGCAATTGCCACCGTACATATTATGGATGCATACAAAAAAGACCACAGAAGATATGGTGGCCAGAAATGCTAAATAATTGAGAAGAAGAAATGACTTAATAGAGTAGTAAGCTTACTTTACAATGCAGCCAATTTAAAGCCATAAAAATCCTGTGTAAAGATTTTATCTTGTGGCTCACCAGGGCCTCGGCTATCTATTATTCAAAAGTATCCCACCAGCGTTTTTCTTCATTAATGTGGCTTTGGGCATTTCCCTCAAAATCTTTGTTCCCGCAGTTTCCCGACAATTTTGAAACAAATACAAAAATTCCTACGGTTATATCACCGGTTCCCCTCACAAAGATAACCCGATCTTTGGTGCTTCTTTGAAACCTACTTCAAAGGTGAATCTGTAAGGCAAACTTCAACTTCCTCTGATACCATTTGTTTGTGCTTCCCATCACCAAACACACAAGACATTATCAATGAAAATAAATAAATAAGTGAACGAGACGGGGCTAAATCTACTTGTACTGCTACATCTGGAAACAAGAGGAGAACCTCAGAAATAACACCCTTTCCTGTGATACTCTGACCCGGGCATTCGTCTAGGTTTTAAATGTCCCGAGGCATCAGGAAAAGCCCTGCCTTCAGTGGGCAAAGGACATCTCTGCAGCGGGAGAAAGAGACCCTCCGGATCCCTGTCTAACTTAAACCCCCTGCCTCTGGTGGGCTCTGGCTGAAATTCCAGCTGCGACCGTGATGCCCCTGTGGTCAAGGTTACCACACGCAGCCTGGAATGTTCTTCTCAGTCACACTCCCCTGGCAGCCTTTTGGCTGCCCTGCCGTGCTCCCGCCAGTTCAAGTTCCGGACTCAACGTGAAAAACTACCCTGACAATCACTTCTGCCTGCAGTCCTGGTGCGGTAAGAGTGGTGCTGGGTTGAAGATGAGAGTGTGGTCCCCCTGCTATCCTGCTAATGTCTGAAAAAAACTGTACAGAACAAATTGAGCGGCGCAGATACGGGAACCTAATCGATGGCTCTATTTTTTCCACGCACGACCCCACCCCTTGCTCCCTTTAGAGGAGACCAGCAGGTTTCAGTATGCACTGTGTGTGAAGATTTAAATGCTACTCGGATTTATTAAAGAAAATAAATGATCTGTTATGGGTGTTCGTGCACAGTGTTGTCTCAACACACACGGTTCTAATTCTATGTCACGCGACGTTAAAGAGTTATGAGCTAGGTAAAAATAACAAAGTCATGCACAGAGACACACATATGTTTGGGAGGTCATGCAGGCCAGCTCTGCGATCTATGGAATTCTTTCCACGTTCGCAGGAGAAGAGGCCCTATCCTCATGAGTTCGCTCCCACCCAGGTTTCTATTGCCCCTTCTTTGTGTCAGCGACTCCTGGGCTCAGACTTGAGAACCATTCAAATTTCCCTCCCTTTCCCACAACGACACAAGTGTCTCCCAGGTTGGTTAACTCACGCGGATGACATCAAATCCAACGCACAGAAGACAGGAAACAAAACCCAGAAAACGCACAACCCTGACAGCACTCCCAACTGCGCTCCCTGCCTGCTGCTCCTGAACTTGGGCATTTCCAAACACACTCTCCTACTGGGTCTCTGGGGTGAATGAGAGACAAAGAAGAATTTCACTTCAAAACTAGACCGAGTCTGCAGCTGCTCTGAGCACTTCCAAACACCTGCAAGTCTGTTGATCTTCACTTAAAGTATTAAGCAGGGATGTTTTGAAGGTAGTAGGAGGTCATGTATGGACCTAACAGCTTGTCTTAACTCCCATGCTGAGATTTTTTTTTCTTTTCTTTTCTTTTCGAGACAGAGAGAAGGTGCTGGTTTCAACACTGCCCTCACTGGCTTTTTGTGTGTGCCTGTGCCTTGGTGTACAGCCACTGGTCTGGCAGTACAACGCAAACAGAGCAAGCGTGCCCCCCCCCCCCCCCCCCGCCTCAGCAGATCCATGTGGCAATTCACAACAGCACCGAGGCAAGCACAACACAGGAATGCGCACACACCACCATCCCACAGTGCCCAGGCATGTGGGGGTTTGTCCAGGCCCTTCCGGACTCTTCCAGAACTGCACAGTAAGATTCCGAAAGGGAGGGGGAGCGGGGTGCAGCTAGGCAGAGAAGAGGAGGAGGAGGAAAGCTCTGCCCTCTCTGTCTTTCTCTAAGAATCTCCCACCAGCAAACATGGGGCGACAGGAGGGCAACTCTCCTGCAGGCGCTTCTAACAGACTTGAGGGGGAGCAGTGGGTGGCTGGTTGGAAATCCTTCAAACGGTGGTCGGGTGACCCCCTAGCAACTTCAGAGACTCCCTGGAGAAGGGAAGGGGCTGGGAGATGAGAGGGAATGAGGCGCAGGAGGACGGGAGGGAGACACCTAGGACGACTGCAGCAGAAATCACCAGAAGGGTTTCCCAGCCCCTGACAGCTGTCCTCAACTCCTGCCGTGCCGCCCTCTGCCCGAGACCCCTGTGCACAGCCCCTCGCTCCAGAAGACCAGAGGACGCCCCCCACCCCTGCCAGTCGGGGTGTCCTAACTCTGCCCTCACTCTTGGCCACTTTACCAAGCGCCCAAGTCTCTATCCAGGAAGGGGGATGGGAGAGGTGTTTAAGGAACAAATCTCCTTGCCATTAGAATTTATCTGTGTCTCTAGCACACACGCCAGGTGGGGGCTGCAGTCGTGGTAAGGCACGACTACAAGAGATGGACAGGACTTAGTACCGTGTTATTGAAGGAAGGGTTGCTTTTCTTTTTTTTTCCAAGACACTCTAAACAAGTGAAGGGGGAGGGGGGTGGCAAGAAAGATTGCCACCAGGACTGCAAATCAAGAATGCCCCCGATGCAAATGTCTGTCTCCAGGGGTTGATGAGAAGGATGTGGACCAGTTACCTTGGCAGGGTCAGAACTGCGGCAGGGTAATCGGGTGAGTCGTCGGGGATTTTAAAGGAGCAAGCCCAGCCGCCGTCTGTGGCTGGGAAAGTCTACCGAACCCCCATGCCGGGGCCGTGCACGTCTGACACACGCCTCCTTTCGCCGGGCTCCCGCGACCTCAGCCGGCGAGGGGGTGCTGGCCGGCCGGCCACGGGCAAGGGCACGGCCACCCGCTGGGCCCCTGCGGGCTTGGCGCCGGCCTGGCCCCCGGGGCCCGCGTCCCGAGCGGCTGTCACTCACCGAGCCGGGCTGCGAGGGGCAGAGGGGCACCCGCAGCTAGCCGGAGCGCCCGGGCGCCTCCCTTCTCTCTTGGTAGCGTCGGTCCGCACTCCCTGTGACCCAGGACGTCATGATGCCTGTCTGTTTTCTCAATGATAACTTGGCAGAAGACGAGAGAGGCTGCCAGGTTCTCCTCGGGTGGTTACGTGGTATGTGCACGTTTCTGTTTGCATGCGTTTCTCTCCCCCTCTGGCTCTCTCTTTCTTTAAAAAAATAAATACCGATATTTTTTATGGGAAAAAAGACTTCCCGGCACTGTCATGATTCGATTGCGTTATTGCGCGTTTGCATAATTGGCACCTCTGGGTGTGTGTCTGGGCGTGTGGGTTTTTTGCCCCTTTAAATCCTGCTGCTCCCGCCGCCGCGCAGCCTCTGCAAACGGAAAGCAAGCATGCGTTCATCTTTTGTCTTTCATTTTACCTTCAGGGTGACATTCAGTGCCAACTGCTTCCCTTTTGACCGTCGCCAATCCCCGCCTGGGCAAAATACATTTTAAAAACCTGGGGGGAGGGGAAGCCGGAGCCAGCGTCAGCCGCCCCCCCTCCCCCGCCGCGGCCCCGAATGCTGGGCTTTCCATCCCTTCGACTCCCGGACCCCAAACCGGCGCGACCCACCGCCCACCGCAGGCAAACCGGTTTCCGTTCTACCCACCGGGCCCAGGCAGAGACTCGGCACCAGGACAGCCAGAGGCATCCACGCGCGGCGGGGCACTCATGCTCGCGGCTGCCACTTGCTGACTTGCATCTCTGTTGCCTTGCCAGGGTGTAGGCCTCTCACAACTGGAGCTATTTTTGTCTCCTAGAGATGTTCTTTAAAGCCTTTTAAACGTGGGGAGGGGGCAGGGAAGAGAGAGAGAGACGGAGGGACACCCCAGCCCCTCTGTGAGGAGCTGTACAGATACACTGGGACATTTGGGGGACTCCTGGCACCTGACCCACCAAGGGAGTCCGAAGGGACAGAAAGGATAACTGGCTTTTAACAGAATTCTTCTACAACAGCCAGAAAAGTTTTGTTGTGTTTTTTAATACAAAGATATTGCTGGCGAATCGCTGTTTTTGTCATTTGGGGAATTATGTTTGCTAGAATCAGTGGGAAAGGTCTCAAGCAGAACCCTTAACATTTACTTGGGGAACATGAAAACGTGTCTGAGGTGGTCCGAGGGCAGGTAGAGATCAAGTGTTTCTGTGATAACAGAGTTCGTGCCGTTTGTATGGTGTTTGGTAGCTTCTGTCCATCACAATATAGTGTGTATCACCACCATGTGTATAGCACAGAAAAATAAACATCTAGTATCCGGCAGGGTAAACATTTCCCTCTGCTTTATCATTAATTCCCCAAGTGCAGTCCAGAATGGGTTTAGGACCCCCTCCCCGGACCTGCAAGTCTCTTGTTGACCCTGGTCACCATGGAGCATTGGTAACGTCACTGTTTCTGCTGATTCCAAATTTCTGAACGATAACAGCAAAAGCCAAGGCTGCAATATTAACAACAACAATAATAATAATGATAATAATAATGATGAAAATAATAATAATAATAATAAAGCTTGGAGGAGAGTGTCGAATCTGAAAAGCAAAGACTTTCAAACTCACCTGAGACTAACTATGGCTGCCAGAGGATTCAGAGTCATTTACCTGATTCAGAGGTTGGCTCAGTTGAGTGAAAACAATTAAGTAGCTTGTTAGAGCTCCTCCCCTTGCAGTCACAGACCAAGAATCCCTAGCAGATTCTGTAGGGAAACACGGCCACGGTGCAAAGACCAGACGGTAAGAACTGGAGAAGAGCTTCCCTCCCTTAAACCTCAGGCAGTCTCAGAATACTATTGACTAGCAGACAGATTCCAAAACTTGAATGGGGCCTCGCTGCTCTTAATAACTGGACACGTACCTCTTGGACCCTGCTTATCAGTCCCCTTGAAGGCCAGAGGAAGAGCTGGGCCGGCCTGGCCAGGGCTTAGGGGTTATCAGTGCCCAGGAGGATTCTAAACAAGGCCAGAACCTGGGTAGCCATCATCCCCGTGTGTTACTGATAACTTGCAGTAACTATCCAAGAGGAGCTCGTTAATATTCAATCTAGCAGCCTGGTTCTCCAGCTTTGTACTTATTAACCTCAGAACTGGACCCTGCAAGGCCCACTGCAAAGAGAAAGAACCGTAAAAATGTGATTCACTTTAATCCCTGGAAATCCATTTTTTTTTTTTCAGACAAATGCCTTCCACGCTGCTTGTCACCCTTCTGCACGCCAGTCCGGACAGTCAAGTGGTTTCTTTCCCTGGGGCTGAGGAGTTCAAGCAACCAGCAAAGGGGACAGGCAGGGTACTCAGGTTCCCTGGACATTCAAACAGCTCCTTTCTAGCTCAGCTTCTCAGAGTCTTGTTCGGCCTATGACCAGCTCCCTGTTTTTTTATTCGGGTTCAGACTCCTCAGCCTCTACATTCAAGTCTTTATTTTCTGGCTTCACCCTAAATATGCTAGTTAATAGTGTTGTGGCCTGTTGACTTTAACTTCCCAGCAAAAACCCAAGGGCACGACATGCTGGCTGAGGTGGGCAGAGCGTTTGGAACACCCTGTTCCAACCTTTCCTCACGCACAGAACTTGTAAATCTAAATCTTCCCAGCAACAGCGTGACAGAGGGATTGTTGCTGTTGCCATTTTATGCAGGGAATAGAAGCACAGAGAAGTCAAGGAATTTGCCCAAGGTCACACAGCTGGGATTCAAAGTCAGGTGCCTTAAGTCCTCATGATCAAGCTCTCTTCTGCCTACCTACCTCCCTGCCTATTCACCTGTCTTTCCAACAGCTGGAACCTTGCACGTTTGGCTCTGGCTTGTCACCCATCTCCCATCCAGTGTTAACTCCTACTCCCATGTCATTGCCCAAGCACTCGACACCCCAGTCTGCCTCTTTGCTGTTCAAATTCAATGCATCGGTCAAGGCCAAGTTCGAATCCTGCTTTATCCACAAAGCCATTATTTACTATTGTTGGGTGAATCGATCACTGTCTGTTTTTGTTCCACAACATTCCCTTTTACATATGACATCATTGTCCCTCAACTATCTGTGGAACTTTCTTTTTTTTTTTGACTCCTCTTCATCTCTCAATTCCTTTCTGATGGGATTATGCAATTTTTTCCCTGACTCTTCCAGTATGCCTAACACGGTGCCAAATACAACACTGGCTCTCATTAAGCAGCTTCTGATGCACTAATTGACAACGTACTGCCCTTCGGAGAGCTAGGGTGCCAATTTTCAATGCGACAGAAACTGAAAGTTTTATGTAGCACAGTTTTATCCTTTAACGGGAGAAATTGCAAGCTAATTTCCCCGTATTTCAGACAGTCCCTATAAAATAACCAAGATCAAAATTATTTAATTTGAGAAGCTTATTAGGATGAGGTAGAATTTAATGAGAATGTGCAGGGGCAGGAAAAGTGTGTGTGTTTAACTGTAGTATTTGGAAAGCAATTGTAAACTTACTGTGATTTTTTTAGCTGTTGTGAGCCTTTCCCTGCTATATATTGAAATTTCTCAGTGTCAAAAAAATTAAGTTTTATACTTAAAAAATAGGAAAATAAGTCAGGAGACCTGCGATCTTGTGTTGGGTTTGAGACAGGTCAGCTGTGTGTGTCCTTTGGCATATTAATCACCCTGGGCCTCAGTTTCCTTTTTGCACAAGGGATATTTAACCAATTCTCAAGTTTTGTCCAGCTCTAAGCTTCTGCAAGTCTAAACAGGGTATGAGAGAAAGAGAGAGAGGAAGGGTTTAGCCTAACAAAACTGGTTTTCTTGGAGGATACAAAAAATATGCTGGGAGCCCAGGTATAATGAGCAAAGATCGTATTTCTAATTCCTGGCATAGTGAAGTGTAGTTCAGCGGGAAAAAAATCTCTCTACAGCTTTGGCGAGGTGGCTCAGCTGGTTGGAGCACTGTCCCATACACCAAGAGCTTGCAGGATTGATTTCTATTCTTGGCACATACCTGGGATGTGGGTTCGACCCCTGGTCATGGCGCACACAGGAGGCAACTGATGGATGTTTCTCTCTCACATCTATGTTTCTCTATTTCCCTCTTTCTCCTTTCCCCTCCCCCCTAAAATCAATAAACATATCCTTGGGTGAGGATCTAAAAAATGTTTTTAATTGATATACAAAAACATGTTCAAATTTACCTTTGCCAAGATGGTCCCATTTATTTGAGGTAAAATGATTAAAAACTGAGTGTACCAGTAGCCCACCACATCGATCATATGTTATTAGCCCTCATTCGTGCTTGCCTACAGCTCTCTGTCTAGAATAATCAGATTGCTATAGAGACTCCATTTGATATGAATGAATCCACCCACTTGTGCCTGGGTGTCTTAGGCTCACGCATACCTTGGATTAAATCATGAAGGAGATGAAGAGCACGGGTCTACTTGGGGGCCAGAATCAGAGCGGGGCCTCTCACACATTTCCTGATGTAACTAACTTTGAGTTGGCCTCCCCCTGCGTTCCTTTCCTTATGTCCACGCATTGAATGCTCATGACGCATCAACCTTCTCACCAAGTGACTGTCAGGATCAGTGAAAGAGCCGAAAGGAGGGTACTCCACGGATACCACGAAACATCATGGCCGATGTGGCTTGTTTTACACCAGAGTTGTGTTTCTGCAGAAACGTAAAATAAGGAGAGCCCGGGAATCCGGGAACCCAGGTTTCCCGGCAGAGCATCTAGGCTGATTTCTGCTACATGTTGATGGTTACAGGACTCACAAAGTCCTCGGGCAGTGAAGGACGTAATCAGCATGTCCTTGCAGATCAGTCACCCTGTCCCAGTCCAGAATAAAACGACATGATACAAACTGTGGGAAAGGATTACAGTTCATAACTCCACCAGGACCAAGTTCTTTGGAACATTTATTTACAACAAAAACTTATACCAGGCCTCTGGAGTGCAAAAAATGAGAAGGATCTCATATAATGCAGGGGTCCTCAATCAAGATTCCATGATAGCTTTGGCATCTCTGGATAAATTAAGAAAGTCTTCAAGTTGCAGGCAAAATGCATGTGTGTTAATGTGTGCACACACACGTGCATGTGCATTATTCTCAAGAGAAGACCTGTCACTTTGCTCACATTCTCAGAAGGGTTCAATGACTCCTGAAAGGTCCAGAACTACTGGTACAGGAATAGCTTATTTTAAAACAGACTAAGAGAATAACACAATCACTTAAGTCGAATGCCATGCTAACTACAACCTAGACAGTAGGCGATAATTGCCAACATTCAGAGTGGTGGCCTTGAGACGCAATGAAGGCATCAATAATCAAAAATATATATTTTTCAAGGTATTTTACTTAAACGGAAAGGGAAAATGCACCAGCTTCTAGGAAGGCTGGAATATTGAATTTAAGCAAGAAGAGGTTTCTGGTTCTGCGGATGCTGGCTGGACAATTCCCGGTGTGCTGACAAAGGGGGAGTCACATGGAAAGACGCTCCATGCTCAGGGAGTGCATTTCAGCCACTGCAGCTGCCAGGGGGCAAAGAATGAGGCATAAAGCAGAGTCCTGGCGGTGAGGTGGGGGGGAGACTGTGGGACTGTCTGGCAGGAAACTGGAATCCACAGACTTTAGTGCCTGCCTTGGGCAGCGGACTTAAAGATAGGATGTCTGGGAGGTGCAGAGAAAGGCTGTGGTAAGAAATCAGTGAGTTTGGTTTGGGACGTGTTGGGCCTACGGGCTGTGGGACAGCCAGATTCCAGGGCCCTTTGAAGTCCAGGGCCCATAGAAGTCATTTTGAAAAGATCTGTGGCTGGAGAAACCTACCTGTGAGTCTTCAGTGGATCTTCTGTGGCTTATGCTGGTGATACAGATGAGGGGAAATTATGAATATAAATGATTTAGGAGCATCTGAAATAAGATTGCATTTATTTGAATAAAATCTAATTTGCAAAATATAAAATTATATGACACTCCAGGCAAAATAGTGTTGGTGATTTTAAATATTTATAGACACCTGTATTTGTACCATAAATTTCTGAATAGAACTATATATCTCAGATTTTATTGTGCGTCTGGGGTTTTCTGGAGTTCTTTCATCTCGAGGCTTTCTTTTCTTTTTTTTTTTTTATTTTATTTTTCAATCACATTTTCCATTCAGTGTTATTTTGTATTCATTTCCGGCGCTCAGCACAGTGCTTAGACGTCATGGCTGTAGTTCCCATCTGTGATCACACATTCATTGCCTGTGCGCAGGAGGGAGAAAGAGTTCCAGCTTCAACTGGAAAAATAATCAAGATGTCACCTGATGCCACAAGTTAACAACTATGTTCCCAGCTGTGTGGCTTTGCCAGTTCCTGAACCAGCAGAGTAAAGTCGGTAAAGTCATGGAAAGAACATTGAACTTGGCATCAAGACACCTGAGTGTGAGTCTAATTTCTACCTCTCCCTGCTTTTGCCACCCTGGGCGAGTCATTCAGCTTCTTACTGCCTGGACTTCCCCTTCCATGCTTCCCCTGCCGTCCACATGGAATGACCACTGAGCCTTGGGGGGTAGGCAATCACCAAAGGGGAGGGGCAGGTGAGCCCAGCTGCACACTTCAAAAGTCACCTCCTTGCTGATCATTTTAGGGACACCACCTACCCCTCTCCTCCCTATGACCGCCCAGTGGAGTCCGTCACTCCTTCCTTTCCACCTCCATCAACACACTCCTACGATTTTACTTATCACTTTTATTTTTGGTTGATATACCTGGCTTTGCTGTTCCATTTAGGTAAATGCCTTTAGTCTAACAGATGTTTTCATTATTTTTTTTACTATAAGGGCCTAGCACACAGTAGGTGCTCCATAAATATGAAATGAATAAGCTGGTATCAGGGGAGAGCATTTGCCTGAATCTGTTCCTAATCCATGAAAAGTCTTGAGCTAATCCAGGGAGCAGAGAGGGCAAAGCCAGCCTACTGACAGGCCGTAGGCTGTGGGGCACGGGCACTCGGCTCCAAAGGGGCCACTCTCTCGTAGAACTCCCACTTTTACTTATTGACACTCCCTCAGGTGTACAGTTATTACAAGGGAATAAAGTATGTCAGTCCCCAATCCTAAGCTTAAAATGCCAAACAGCCCCCCTTCCAAATAAAAAGTTAACACAGACTTCATTTGACACCGGTATATGAACACTCGACAGCAGGTTTTGCCAGAAAGCTCCGAAGAGAAGGCAGAATGGGGTGAGGGCACTAATAGGTGGGTGAGGGCGCTAATAGATGGGTGACGGACCATCCAGGGTGGTGGGGGAAAAACAGGGAGTGGAACCAAATATCCCCCTTTACGTTCCTGAGGAGTGGTGTTGAGCTCTCTAGGATCAGTTCTTACATCTTCAAGATGGAATTAGAGTATGTAGTTCTCAGAGTTGGTGGGAAGATTAAATAAGATAATGCCTTGTCAGAGGAGGCAGCTGATGAAAGAAAATTCTCCTCCCGCCCTTTCTATGTTCTTGCCAATTTACCTTCCCAGAAGAAGAAAATGAAGAATCAAATCCATCCACTTGTAACCGTGATCAACTTCTAAGCTCTTCCCTTGATCCGGCTGCTAAAAAAGGCCCCCAAGAGTAGCCAGAGGCCCCGGGAGTAGCCTGTGTCCACGGTCTCCAACTTCGCTGTGCACTGGAGACACCTGGGAGGCTTCTGGAAAGCGTGGTGCTCATTCCACACCCCACAGCAGCGAAGTCAGAAAGTCTGAGGGCTGCAGGCCTGCAGCGGTATTTTTTTAAACCCCAACTTATTCCAGCGGGTACCGGAATTTGAAAAATCCACTGGCTAAAGAGGAGAAGTACGCCCGTGACCAGTGAGTTTGTGTAATTGGAGCCTGATGCTCGTAAGGCCCTCATTTTGAATTCTAGTCCAGAATATGGCAGCTCTTGACGCTTTCACAGGCCCAGGATGCTTAGCTCTTCTCCGTCAACCCTCCTGTGGCAAATTCTCTGTAAATGAACCCCAGACTTGGGGTAATAACAGAGGACTGACTCATCCCAAGTACCAAAAATACAAAAACAAAACATAAAAAAGCACAAACAGGTGTGCATTGGTGCTTCTTTACAATTTAGAAAGTGCTTCAATAACTTATTTTATTTAATCTCCAGCAACCTACAGAGTTGCATTGTTATTATTATTATTATTATTATTATTACTATGCCCAGTTACTAGATAATGAAACAAAAACTAAGAAACTTTCAGCTTGCTCAGGGACACAGTAGCAGAGCAGGCATGTTGAAGAAATGAATGAATGAATGAATGGCCAAAGGGAAATGGGCCCCGGGAGAGATTCAAATGAAGGTACCTTCTCCACAATTAAGGATATCTTTTCTAATTCTAGCTCTCCCTTGCAATAATCTAATGAAGTGGATAGGATCCCTACCGTATAGGAAGATAAAATGAGAATTAATGCAATTAGACCTGTAAGCAGAGCAAAATGTTGGTTAAGCAAAAAAGACTGTTAAACTGGAATTGATTCTTTTCAATTTTCTGTGTAATTATCATGGGGTGACGTATACAGGGCGGCCATCTCTAACAGTACCTGGGAATCCTAATGTAACATGCGGCTGCCCGTGAATTCATTGCACTGAGGCCCACTGGGTCAGGCCAGGAAACTGTTTTCCATCTGCCCAAACCAGACCAAGCCAAGACAGAACAATCCAGCAGACCCTGGAAGTGCAGTGGTAACAACCATGGTCTGCACTGAGATTCTCCCCAGGCCAAATCATATTCTGAGAAAGGCCCTACAGAATTCTAATGGAAGTTAGTCCACAGCACTGGCTTAGCTGGGTCCTTCCCCATGTTATTAGGGCTCCACTCTGTCATTACAAGGCTTGGCATCAGTGCAGAGCTGTTCCCTGTCAAGGTCAAGTGCTGTGAACAAGTCAAATGTAAGCTGGGATGATGATGGCCGCAGCACTCAGAAAACGGCCCACATGACCAGTTCCTCTCCCGACACAGAGTCACGATGACGTAGCAGCAAATGCAGGTCAGATGACTGCTCTGCTCTCCTGAGCTTCCCTTTTTATCTGGAAGAACCACATTTATTGAAGTGAGGCTCTTTCACTGATGACAGTGGTATTTATTAAACACCCCAGAAACTGCAAATCCAAATGCGCATTTCTCTACAAAACAGACACTTGGGGAGGACATGTAATTACCTTAGTGATCCTGTGATTGCTCTAAACATTTTGGGAATCCCTCTTCTAAAATCACTTTCATGGCTGGCTTAGGACTCACACAAGAAAACCAGCATCATTTCTTTATGGCTGCACCTTATGTGACAAAAATAGCACCTGTCAACCCCAGGCACGGCCCACCAGTCTCTCAGGCATTTGCTGAAAACACGCCCAGCTGTCCCCGACTTCCTGGGCAGCAGCTCAGAGATGTCAGTGACCTCTGTTCGGGGCCTTGTTGAAAGGACAGGCTTGACGTGGGAAACCTCGCCTGACAGGTTAACTTTCCTTTCCTCTGTGGACATGAAGCCTGGTCCTCTAACATACGATCACTCATTCACTCACCGTCACCTGAGCCCTGACTGTTTTGTTTTACGAAGAGGAGCCTGCTGGTAATGAGAAGGCCGAGTGAGGGTATGAAAGGGGAAGTCCAGAACATCTCTACTGGGCACATCCTCTCTCCCACCATGCTCTCCTGACCAACCCCATGACTTCAACTGTGGCCTTGGAGACAGTCTGAAAGAAGCATAAAGAATGTAGGCTCCAGAACAAAATTGCCTGGAGTCCAATTTTGCTAACAGACTACTCAATCAGGTGACTGGGGACAAGTTACTTACTCCATCCGGGCATGCACCCATATTTTGCCATGTATAATGCAAACCCCTGTTTTGTGTGTATTATCCATGGGATTATCATACCCATTATCATACCCATGGTATGTGATCATTACATCCATGTATAAAGCACATCCTTATTTTTCCCTCAAAAGTTTGGGCAAAAATTGCACATTATACATGGCAGAATATGGTAGTTAATCATAGTGCCTACCCCTGATGGTTAGGAGAGGATTCAGTGATGTGTGTGTAAAATGTTTAGGACAGTACTCATCATTTTCAATAAATATTAAAAATATTTTTTATACTTACATGTTAAACATTCTTAAATCATAAACTCTAGATCTGAAGTCCCAACCTCCTTGCTTACCAGATGCTCACTACCATTTCAAACTGACCAGCTGCAAATGTGAATTACATGTTGGCTCAACTTCTCATCTTCATGCTAATTTCTCTGCTCCCAGTCTTGGCCCAAGTTACCAATTATCTGCAGGATCATTAACTCCAAGTTTAACCCACATTCTTCCTTCCACCTTACTCTACCTGCCCTCCGACAAATACACACTCACAGGCACGTTCATTCAGTTAGAAACTCGTGTTGATTCCCCCTCCCTATTTTTCCTTCCCACTCTGTGTGTTTTAAAGCAATGTTTGTTAAGATATTACTCCATGCCAGTTCTAAATATTATTATGCTTGCATTACTCATATAAATCTTACAACGACCTTATAAATTATTACTATTTCCATTTTAAAAGCATGGAAACCAAAGCACAAAGAGATTAGGAAACTTGCAGGGGGTTCAACCAGCAAGTACCTCTGAGAACTGGAATAGAGAATACTCGATGGAAAAAAAAGGTGGAGAAAAGACGAAGAAAATTCTAGTCTCTTTGATGAATAGCGCTCGGAAAACTAGACAGTCACATGCCAAACAGCGTAACTAGACACTATACCACCCCCAGAAATTAACTCAAAATATATTAAAGACCTAAATGCGAGACCTAAAACCATACAGCTCCTAGAAGAAAACAGGAAAAAAGCTCCTTAACATTGGCCTTGGCAATGATTTTATGGACATAAACCCCAAAGCACAAGCAACAAAAGCAAAAATAAATAAGTGGGGTTACACTGAACTTAAAAAGCTTCTGTTCAGCAAAAGAAGCAACCGAGAAAATCAAAAAGCAGCCTACGGAATGAGAGAAAATATTTGGGGAGGGAGATAAAAATGAGATCAAAGGGGCAAAGCACTCTGTAGCTAACTGATAATGGGTTATGTGAATTAGGTATCATGATCCCGTGAGCTGACGAGTCCCCAAGTAAGGTCTTAAAGCCACAGAACGGAGTGTCTTGAACTGGACACTGAGAGAGGCAAGGGTCCCCAGGAGCCAATGTTGAGTGGTCCAGGGCCCTGCACTTTACGTAAGAAGCACTGGAAGAAAATAGCGGCATCATAAGCTGAGGAAAAGCAGCAGTGTTCCCATTCCTAATCCGTGCCGTAGCTGACATTTTGAATTTTGCAACAGAAAAAGCAATTTTATAAACTCAATGATTTGAGATTGAGCATAAAACTCTTCCTCACAGATGACACTTCCGTGATGAGTAACAACTCT